ACAGATATTTAACTGCATTAGTGAATGTTCTGGGTCTGATACAGCATCTAAGCTTAGGTGATTCCTCATGTTCTATGTGGATCGCATAGAAAATAGAAATCCTAATTTCTGAAAATAGACTGAATCATGTATATATTTGCAGGGCAAGACAAGAACATTTAGTTGGATCCAGAGTATTGAGATTGCAGAGGACTCAACAAAGGGTCTGCACTTATTCTATAAATTCAGTATCACGTTAGTGCCTCTGTTTAGTGATTATATAGAACTACCTTTTGAACTTGCAGAAATTGAATGCATATAAGGATCGAGGACCTTTACATTGGATGCATGATGATGATCATCCACCGAGCAGCACATCATCTTGGAAAAGCAGATGCAAATTTCTGCTAGGTTTGCTTCTCCGGTTGTCCCTCCCATCAACTCTCTCAGCTCCCAAACCATTAACCCCGTCCTGGTTGTTCCTATATTTTCTTTTTGTTTTGTTTTTACCAATGCACTTTTCTTGACATGTTTTAGTGTGTTCCTTCCTACGGCCAGCTCGACCATTTGCTCCGCAGGGAGTTTTTAGCTCAGAAGGAGCAAATAATTTGAGAATGCATTGGTCTTTTCTGCAATCTGTTGTTCCTAAGTCATAACTTGTTCCTTTTCTTTTTCTTAGCTGCATGTTTTCATCCAAGTCAGAATTTTTATGTGCACTTGAGAACTAACCATGCTTGTACAGAGACATATAATACAGCACATTCGTTCCATAGGTAGGTGTAGGGTTAACCAATAATAATTGCCTCCTTTTTATTTTCTAAAACTTACATTCGAAATATGTCCCTTTAGGGGGTCCCCTAGAGTGTACAACATACCAGTATGCAAGGACTAATCAGTAGTCTTGTATGCTTATTAGTTGACCGTTTACATGTTTGAATAACCTTACCTCATGCTAAAGCCGAAAAGGTGGTCAGGTAGAGAGTCTCAACTCACCATTGGATCAAAACTATTTAGTAAGCTATTTTTCTCTATTTTCTCAGCGAATGAGCACAAATTCAGAAGGGTACACAAAAGAACCCATGTACAAAGTCTCTACTCTTTTACCAGGCTATCCACCGTCTACACAGTAGGATTCACAAAGGATGCTAGCAAAGTGATAAAATTTGGATGTTTTTTGGAACTATAGCATCACAAGCCCAATAAGAGAAAAAGCAAACATCCTGAAGAATGCATTAGGATAATGATTTTACCTTGGGGTTATACTCTGCATTGCGTGCCTGGAGAGCTATTGCTTCCGGTTCCAATTTACAGTCCAGGTTGACCGTCGACACAATATTCTTGTCATCAAATCAGACACCCGAAAGCAGAGTATACCCAGGAGAAATCAGACCAGTAAATAGCTCTGCCCCATACTGTCAAGCAACCATATAAAATATCAGTTCCAAAACAAGGAAAGAGACAATTTCTTGGAAAGAAAGAAAAAATATCATACATGATAAAATAGTGCTGACAGAACAGATTTCAACTTAGTAACTTATAGAGTTACACTTCAGAAAGCGCCGTGAGAATATGTGAGGCCCTGAAGCCTGATAGCCAGTTTCAAATAACGTAAGATCTCAGTGCTCCAGTTTTAATGTGAAAAGGGTACTGATATGCTTTTATATACTAGAAAAGCTAGGTATGAGATGCCTCTGGTATCTACGTACCACTATGTAACTCTGGAGTGAGGCAATTGTAATCATATAGTAGATCACTACATTTTAGGCTTAGGGTGTGTTTCAGAGAGCTCCACCCCTCCCTCGACTTCAGTTAACTTCCAAACTCCACTCTACTTCTAAAGTTCTAAACTCTCAAGCTACGTAAGCTCCAGATTCACATTACATGGAACGTTTTTGTTTTAGTACCAATTACCCTTCTTTTAAATTTTTTTTACAGGTGGTTGCTTTAGGGCCTTCACTACTGCTATTTTCTGTTCTCTAAGAGACAAATTACGAAGCAAATCAAACAGTACAAATATATTAGAGGTTGTATTCGTTAGTTCATGTATATCCAAAAATTAATAATTATCACCCTAAGAGAAATTAGTAGTTACAGCCATCAGCAAGAATTCATGAAACCAATGGAAATCAAATATCATGTAGGAGTATATTGTTTTCAGTTTTCTTGTCGAACAACATTTATTAATAGTTCACCATGTATCACTCAGTTGATTTGGTACTACACACTGGACCGCTTGAACGTCTGAACAAGCACGAGGATAGCTTTTGAGTGTGGACCAATTGTCTGAATCAATTACTAAGTAATTGATGCTGCCTGAACTCTGAATAAAAATGCATAGACGCTCATGTAGCCTGAATTTTCATCAGGTAATTCCCCCATTCATTCATTCAGATCCATTCAACATCAACCGAATTGAAGAACACAGATTATATACAACCTAAACGAACACCACAAAAAGCGAAGAAATAGACAACCAAACAATAATCAGGAATCTACCATGTCAGAATATGAAAACTCACCAGTAGTAGACTGCTTTGTAGCCTCATTGGAACAGCTCGAGCGGCATGAGGAAGGAGGCAGAGCTGTGGCTGGATGCAAATGAGAAGGGCGACCGGGGAGATGAGGCCACCACGCGACGAGCAGGAGAGTCAGCAGCGCCACAGCGGACCGCGGCGGCCGGGGAGTGGGGCATGCGGCCAGCGGGAGCAGCTGACCTGCGACGGCGGCAGGCCGCAAGATGCGTGACAGCTTCTCCCACGACCAGCTCTAAGGGAGGTAGTGCCACCTAGATCCAGACAGCGAGCTCTTCCGCCCATCCAAGTCGAATTTGACTGCCGAGGATCGCGGATCTGCGGCGCGTGGGCTCGGTGCCTAGCAGTGGCGCGAGAGGTCGTACGGCGGCGGAGGGATCGAACCGTCGGGTGACGGCGCCGAGAGAGCGTTCGGCGAGATGAGAGAGGAAGAGAGTGAGGCAGTGATAGGAGTCTGCGTGAGTTTGCTTTTTCTTTTTCTAGAAACTTTTTTAACATACTGTGCAGCAGCACCGTATCCGAACCGTCCGGTGCATCGCAAGGCAAACACACAAGCGGTCGTCAAACAAAGGAAAAAAAATCTCTTCCACATGCTGTGCATTCTGATGTTCATTTTGCACCCCTCACTGCAGTCTACTACGACTATGCTTTGCAAGATTGTTGCGAGGCTTGCCTTTCTTTGCTCTCCTATATACAGTACGTGACTGCCAATTAGCATCATCATGTTATCGGTAGTAGGCCATCAATTTGCTTATTTATGCCAGTCGGTCCTATAAGCATCCATCTTTGAACTGTTCTATATAGCAGATAGGGGAGCCTGTGTATGTTTGCTATATTCCAGTTTCCTGCTGAAGCCCAAACTAAAGCATTGTAATATTTTTTTTAAAGGTCATCCCACGAGGTACTTAATTTCACTGTGGTTATGATCATTTCATTTTTATTGGTTGTAACTAATTTGACTCACGCGTGATAGATTATGCCTGCACCCTTGAAGCTACATTTATATGGTCACGTAAATCACTGGTTGGTATTCTAAAGATATTAACTTCGACATATAAATCATTGGTTGGTATTTCAATGAGCGAGGACAGTTGAATACTTGAAAATCATTACTTGTATTATTTCTTTGTAATAACATCAAAGATAATGATTAGTGATAGTGTATTCATCTACCTAATTGCTTCATCCATTTTGCACGGTGAGTATTTTATAATGCATATATATTCTTACATATTGCACATAATAGCCTCATGCTAACGACATATATTGCTCGTGTGGGATAGTTACAATCTTTGTACGCTTGCTTAAATACCATGTGAATTACGCCAAAGACAACATATCTAAGTTATACATGAATTTCTTAAGCGTGTCAAAGCAGATATGTTACATTACTTAGCTGAATCATTGTTTTCTATACTTTATACAAGTACGGCCTGTTATAACATTTTGGCCATCGCGGGTGGCCCAAATTTTGGGGAGCCTGAGCTGGTTGCATGGTTAGATTTTGCGGAGTCTATTGGGCGCCGCTTGGATGTATGAGTGACAAACACCGTGGGAATGAAGCTAAAGACAACTTTCCTGATATTGTTAAAGAATTTCTTAAGTGTATCATCTAGATATTGATAATTTGTAATAGATGTTTAGATGAAACATCGCTCAGTTTGTTACATGGACATGTCGTTAGTCTTTCTTTTTGTTATCAATTTTCATTGCAAAATGGACTTCAATTGTTCAGTAATTGTGTTCGTGTTATATTGTTTATGCATGTGAAATTTAACATGTAACTCTTGTAAACTTTGTCAAGAGCCCGTGACAACGCACGGGCCCTCTACTAGTAATTGTAGTGTCATAGTTTGTTTCATTTATTGCCTTCTAGACTCATTTTGCCTCAGGAAGCGCTATGTTACAGTAACATATTATGTTACTCCAAACACCTCTCTCTTCATTAAATATTTGCTACATAAGCAAAATTGTCTTGAGATATGTTAAGTTACTACCTAAATTACCCCACTATGGCTAGCCTAAGTGAAAAGCTATGGCGCAGGTGAGACACCCCACGCTACTACTACCCCGATCCACTCGCACCACCGAACTCTCTCGTGAATTCCTCAAAAAAGAACTCTCGCGACCTCACCCCCACCCCTGTGTCGACTTCCTCTCCCCCACGATCTCCTCCCCGCCGCCACCACCCACGCCCGCCAGTTCCTCGCCGGCCACGCTCCTCCGCCGGGCGCTCCAGCTCCGCCGCGCCATCCCCTTTCCAGCTTCCTCGCGCGCGATCCTCTCCGCGGCCTCCAGCCGCCTCCTCTCCGTCACCGCCTCCACCGAGCAGAACACCGCCGACACCGCCATCGACCTCTCCAACGAAGAGAGCCGCCGCCGCCTCGTCAACAGGTGCGTCTCCTCCATTACCCCTTCGAGTCTTCAGCCTCTGGGCCAGCAAGAACGGTTTGTTGATTGGGAGGCCGCGTACACCTGCGTGCGCGCAGTATGATGTACAGGAGCAAGCAGAGGGGCTTCCTGGAGCTCGGGACCTGGGTGGAGCAGGACGTCCGCTCCATGGACGAGGCCAACATCCGCTCCCTGCTCCAGATCCTCGACCTCGTGAGCTATCCTGCCCTGCCCCTGCCCTCCCCTCCCCCTTTTTATTGACTGATCTAGCTACTCATCTGATTGTTTTTCTGTCTTACTATGGTATCTGTAACATACTTCAGACTAAAAAATTCAGCTAGTAGGGATACTCTTGGTTTCTTTGTCCTGGATTTATCACTTCAGCCTGTGTGTGTCACGCTTGACCCAGTCAAATTGGTCCCGAACCACCCCCACCAGTTTATCTGTAATGTACTGGAAAATTTGTTAATGGGAATGTTCAGTGTTATGTGGTGTATGCTGCAAGTATCGGATTTAGTTTGATGTCCATCAGTCGCTTCGCAAGAATTGACTAGACAAACACCTATATTACATCTCATGTTCAGGGTTTAGTGTCAGAGATCTTGCCTGTGTTACAGCCAATCATTCTCGAAAGCACATGCGTATTAACAATGGTGTTCCTCTATAGTGCTAGCTATCTGATTTTGCTGTAAATCATTGCATAACCTAGTCGTGTTAGATTTGTCCATCCCTTATGATAACAGTATGTAGAATCACCAGCTGAACGTGAAGGCCCCTGCAACGTGCTGCTGTTTTTTCTTGGAGTTCTTGGAGTCTCTGGAGTGTGTTCTTGAGCTTTTTGGCCTTTTGGGAACTGCTGGACACTACAACGCCACGGCCACAACAGAGCGATCTGCACGAATCGATTCACCACAGTGAGGCATAGACCGAAACCTAGCTTGCTTCGCCGATTCGCGGCGGCGGGGACGGCGACCGGCGTGGGGCCGTGGGCGCGTGTCGACTGGCGCTGCTGCTGCGCCGCTGGCGGGTGGCCGGTCGGGCGGTCGGCGGTCATCCTCACATCCTGTTGGAGGCTTGGAGCTCTCGCCTCTGACTCGAGGTCTGAGCCTCTCGGCCTCTCGCCTCTTTATGTTGATAACCGGAGTAGTCCTAGTGTAAATTGAGCTAGCTCTAGTGTTAATGTGTATGTATATTACTGGTTGCTCTTGTTGCGCTGTCAGGTGAAAGCAGTTCTCCTGTAATCCCAAGTTTCATTCATATGGTTCTGAACTTCTGATATTAGCATATACGCTTTCTTCTGAACTGGGTGGATGTTGGTTGGCATATAGTATGAGTAGTTCTTATCTTCCTTTTTAAATTCCTTTGAAGTGGTGCTCGGTACTGACTAATGATGATACTAGTTATTTGCTACTGCTCCTAATGCTCTAGTAGAAGAGGCTGCTGAAGGGCACACTCAAGAACATGGGACTGCTTCAGAACAAGAAGCATGTGCAAGTCTGGTGTAGACAAACAAGGTAGTAACCATGTATGTTTTCGACATTTTCATAGTTATTACAATATGTGAATTTGCAATGCTTGCATTACACTTAAATTGTGAGCTTTGCGCAGAATTTTTTTTAGTTGCACCCCCCATAGTGTAATCCTAGACCCGCCACTGTACAGAGTGATTTGACATGCCGCCTGAAAGTACTAGTTGTGAATATTGGATATCTGTAGCATTACATTTTGAACCTAATTTTGGTCTGCTAACTCTACTTGCTTTTCCATGTTAATCAGAATGTGGTGAATTTTTGTAATAAAAAACATGTCACTCCTTGAGTGACAGCTTTTATGGGGTGTAGGAAAGAATGACTTTAAAGAAAATGTACTTTGTGGATGTTCTATATTTCTCGGTTTCGAAGAAGCAGAAAATGAAGAAGTAAGTTGTCTAACCATTTGATCTGTCTTGGTTTGCTTGACTCTAATTGTGTAGCTTTTGCATCAATTCATTTGGATCCAATGTTGCCTCGTGTAAAGAATAAACCATGTATCTTGCTTCAGCTTTTATTTGTGAACTAGGACAAAATATTCTAAGAGAACTTCCACACTGACTCATGGCAATGTATGATAATAAAGTATGTTGTATCATTGGTTTCAGACATCTGGACGAGAAGAAAAAGAAGTGCAAGGCTGGTAAGGTCGAGACTCATCTTGAATTCCCTGGACGTGAAAAGGTTAAATTTGGTGAAGTTGTCGAAGCTCCACCAAAGTTATCATTCCCAAAGGTGCCTTCTCTACTCAAAACCTTCTATGTTATTAGATTTGGTCGGATTCATATGAAGGGTTGACTGAACTTTTGAAGGACGCCCCATATACTTCAGTGCTTGTATGTTTGTCTTAGATTCTTATGATTTGATCTCTGCTAATATGAATTTGACTGTTGGCATTTGTTGTTACCAAATAGATCACTTCTCAGCCATTTAGAAATGAGAAGTTGACTTCTTGTAAATGTGAATTTGGTGTACAGGATTTGACAACAAAAAATAATGTCATATGATGAATGAATGATATTTTTAACAACCAAAGTGATGTTTGACATTGAGCTTTCTTATTCTTGCAGCACACTGTTAATAGTACTATTTGGTTGAACTGATGCAATTTGCGAACTAACAAGTTTTCACTTTCCCGACGTGGGCGCAGAGGTGATCGACGCTGACAAGCGCGGCCCGGTGGCGCTGTGCTCTTCAACCACTCAGAGGCGGACTTCGCCGTGAAGCCCGGTGGCCACATAGCACAGATGATCGTCCAGGTGATTTCGACGCCGGAGGTCGACGATGTGGAGGACCTCGACGCCACCGTCCGTGAGAGGGAGGATTCGTGTCCACCGGCGTCTGAATTCCTAGCCTTGTAGATACATCTAGAGAGGTGGTCTGTTTAGGTTGGTGGTAGACCACTAGGGGAGGTACCCGCCTTATGATGATGGTTCTGTGTGTCTGATGTTAAATGGAATCTTGAGATGGTTCTGTGAGTTGGTTTTGTTTGCACTGGACGCATTACCATTCATGAGTACTACATCTAATTTTTATTTTTTAATTCGTAGATTGTTAGTAGTAGCGTGGGTCAAAAGTGAGGGCTACTAGTAGTTAGGTCAGTAATAGCGTGGGTTTTAGGTTAGTACTAGCATGGGTGCACACGCGCTACTACTAACTTTTTAGCTGTAGCGTGGGGTAAAAAACGCGCTACTGCTAAAATTTAGCTATAGCGTCGTAGCAGTAGCGCGGGAACCCATGCTATTGGTATGCAAAAAACCCACGCTACTGGTAGTGTTTTTTCTAGTAGTGCTTGTTTTTGTTGGGCCTATCCCCATTTTGCGGATTGTGTCCTAATATATCAGATTTAGACCACTGCCGCCGTCCATGAGGACTTGTGTGAGATGGTATCCGTTTATTGTTGGGTCTAACACCAAGACAACCAACCCTTCGTGCCGGATGCTTGTCGCGTGATCCCCGCGATAAAAAGTGATTGGGCAGGCCAATCGGGGGTTGACCCTAGGGCTGACGGGCTCTATGGCGTGTGTGTCTCGGAGTGCATGTTTGCTTCTCCTCTTCGTCACATGGATCATGTTGACTGTTTTAACCTCTGGTGGGAATTTTTTCTGTCCTCCAGTGCTTTGCTGGCGAGGCTCGTCCTCGTCTTCGCTTGGTGTCTCCCCTCCTTGTGTTCGGCGTTTAGCTTACCTGCCTGCTTGAAGACCCAGCATTCTCTGTGGGTGTGATTTGCAGGTTTATCGGGGGTGCCATGAATCTGACATAGTTTGTCAAGAATCTTGTTTAGGTCAGACGGTCCGTCTCTGCTGCCTTTGAAAGGCTTTTTCCGCTGGCCTGGTCGAGAGCCCCTAAATCCGGCGTTTACCACCGTATTATCTGGGCTATCTTCTTTATTTCGACGCTTGTTTTTATTGCGTCGTGGTTTTCCATTGCCATCTCTGACTTCGGATGTGCTTGGGTCGCTGGTGCTACTGCGGGCTAACCAGCTGTCTTCGCCCGCGCAAAAGCGGGTCATGAGACTTGTTAGAGCTGCCATTGTTCTCGGTTTTTCTTGCCCGAGGTGTCTGGTGAGCCATTCGTCTCGGACGCTGTGTTTAAAAGCTGCTAAGGCTTCGGCGTTCGGACAGTCGACGATTTGGTTCTTCTTGGTGAGAAACATGTTCCAAAGCTTTCGGGCGGACTCTCCGGACTGTTGAATTATATGACTTAAATCGTCCATCCGGAGGTCAGACGTAGGTCCCTTGAAAATTAGCCCGAAAAGCATGCTCGAGCTCCTCCCAACTTCCAATTGAGTTTTCAGGGAGGCTTTTCAGCCAGTGCCGAGCTGGTCCTTTAATCTTGAGGGGCAATTATTTAATGGCATGGAGATCGTCTCCGCGAGCCATATGGATATGGAGGATAAATTCCTCAATCCAGACCCCAGGGTCTGTGGTCCCGTCGTACGCCTCTATGTTCACTGGTTTGAATCCTTCTGGGAATTCGTGGTCCAGCACCTTATCGGTGAAACATAGGGGGTGTGCGACACCCCTGTACTTGGATGTACCAAGGCGTTCGGACGGTTGTGGTATTTGATTTTGATTTTGTGCCGGAGCATGCTTCCTAGATCCATAGATGGATCTGGTCATACCGGATTTTTGGCGCAAGTCCTCACATACATCGTGTGTTGACTTATGTGCATATTTGTTATCCACTCTATCACAGTCACAAGGTTGTGGATCCGGCCGGTTGGCCGTTTCATTTTTTGGCTGTGTGGGATCTAAGGCCTCGTCGTCGAATTCAGGTAACAGCTTGTGCTTTGGATAGCTCTTTGTGTGGTAACTTCCATCATACTTTGCTTCGTTGTCGAGCACTTTGTTCCACGTACTGTTGAGTGTATTTTGTGCGGCCCTAAGCCTTTGCTTCTGCTTCTTCAGACTCCTCGATGTGGCAATAAGTCTTCTGCGGAGGTTCTCTTGCTCCAAGTGCGTTTCCGGGATGATGTGTGCATCTTCGTCCGGACCGTTTTCCTCCCCAGAGGGGGTTTGATGAGGTTTATACTCGGTGTCGCCGTGTTCGGATGTCGGATCCGCACTATGTTCGCCGCTTGCAGCCTCATCGTGCTCTGCCGCCAGGGCAATGTGATCGTCGTTTCCTATGGAGTCGACTGGAGTGTTATTTTCTCTTGCGCTGTTATCGCTGCTTTTGCTATGGCGGGACTTAGAGCGGTGCCGCTGACATCGGCGCTTGGGTTGCTTCTTGGAGGGGCCATCCTCCGCTGTCTCTTCGCCATTGCCTTCTTTGGGTGTATCCACCATGTATATGTCATGTGATGAAGTGGCTGTCCGGCGCCCTGTGGGCGCTGGTTCCTTTTCGTCTCCTGCATCTTCGTCCATGCCGTCGATGTCTTCGGAGTCGAAGTTGAGCATGTCGGTTAAGTCATCGACAGTGGCTACTAAGTGGGTGGTGGGCGGGCAGCGAATTTCTTCGTCGTCTGTGTCCCATTCTAGCCGGACATAGTTCGGCCAGGGTTCTCCTGACAAGAGAGAGACTTTAATGAATTTAGCACATCGCCGAGAGGCGAGTGCTGAAAGATATTCGTGGAGGTGAACTCCATGATCGGCGCCCAGTCAGATTCGATGGGCACAGATGCGGGCGGCTCGGAGTCTGTGGCGGGGGACGAATCTAGTGGTTTGGCGACACGGTTCTCGTAAGGGGTGACGTCAGTATCCGGCTCCATCGCCACTGAGAGTGCGGCCTCCATGGCGGGGTATGTCCCTCCGTCCTTGGATGGTGCAATTTGCTCCGGATTGAAGGCTGGAGTAGTTGCAGATGCGATCACCCGAACACTGTCCGACGGCAGAGTTACGTCGTGCTCGTTGTGACTGTGCGGCGCACCTGACACGGGCTCGAATCCGTCGAAGATCAAGTCTCCGCGGATGTCGGCAGTGTAGTTTAAGTTTCCGAATCTGACCTGATGGCCAGGGGCGTAGCTCTCGATCTGCTCCAGATGGCCAAGCGAATTGGCCCGTAGTGCAAAGCTGCCGAATACAAAGATCTGTCCGAGGAGGTAAACCTCACCCTGGACCGCATCGCTACCGATGATCGAAGGAGCCATCAAGCCTTATGGTGACGACACAGTGGAACTCTTAATGAAAGAACCAATGTCGGTGTCAAAACCGGCGGATCTCGGGTGGGGGGTCCCGAACTGTGCGTCTAAGGTGGATGGTAACAGGAGGCAGGGGACACGAGGTTTACCCAGGTTCGGGCCCTCTTGAAGGAGGTAATACCCTACGTCCTGCTTGATTGTTCTTGATGATATGAGTATTACAAGAGTTGATCTACCACAAGATCGTAGAGGCTAAACCCTAGAAGCTAGCCTATGCTATGATTGTCTGTTGTCCTACGGACTAAACCCTTCGGTTTATATAGACATCGGAGAGGCTAGGGTTACATAGAGTCGGTTACAAGGGAGGAGATCTACACATCCGTATTGCCTAGCTTGCCTTCCACGCCAAGGAAAGTCCCATCCGGACACGGGACGAAGTCTTCAATCTTGTATTTTCACAGCCCAACAGTCCGGCTGTCCGGAGACCCCCTAATCCAAGACTCCCTCATCCACCATCTCCATGCTAGCCAAGTTGTTGCAACTCCCTCCATCTATGATGACGCGAATAAAACGTTCCTTCACAACTCCCTTCGTATGAAACAAATTATGCCTCTGATTTTGCTCAGCTTGTGTAACCTGCACACTCAAAACACGTTGAGCAAGTAAACATTCATACCTGTCAGCATCCTCAGCAGCCATGTATTGCGTCTCATGATCAGAATCCTCTCCACCGTGTTCTTCATGTGTAATAAGAGCCAAAGTCTCCTCATCATAGTCACTAACGGACTCATACCCACCATCCTCAGTAGCAATCATCACACGTTGAGATTTGCATTCTCTCGCAAAATGTCCACTTCTCTTACAACGACGACAAATAATATCACTTGTGTGCCCTATTGATGCCATGGAAGAAGAAGAGCTCTGCGCAGGCCCGACAGGTGTGCTCTTGGCAGATAGTGGTGGTTGTGCCTGCTTTCTTGTATCATGGCTGGAGGCGGCACCTGATGGAGATGCTGGTGCAGTGGAAGTAGAGGATGCACGTGGTGTCCATGATGAAGATCGACCTGCAGAAAAGTTAGTTCACGCCAATGCCTGTCGATCATGCACTTCACGTTCAGCTTTACAAGCAAGATGGAATAAACGAGTGATATTAGTATACTCATTATACTCTAGAATGGTCTGAATATCTCTATTTAATCCACCTATAAAACGTGCA